TTTTTGGTCTAGGTATAACTTTTGCATGAGCATAATTAAGAATTCTGTTATCGCTGTTCTTCTCACTGTTAGACATAATTTATTATGATTCACACCGTCTAGCACCTTTGCATAGTCAATTAATAAAAAATAAACATTTTTTTCTAAACATTTTTATTTTATTTAGGTTTGCATACAAAATTCATATACACTGTGTTTCATAGTTTTCTTCACTCACATTGTGTTTCATGCAATCATTCTAATTGCACTGTATTTTATAAAGTTGATCCCCATTGAATTATGCCCACTATTATTCTGTCTTTTCAGGTCCGTGCTGGATCTTTCCCAACAAGTAGACATTCTTCTGGTAGACACTGCTTTCCAGGATCCATCTTTCATCAGCAATGATGTCCCTGGTGCTATGGCCTCTTCTAAGTGCAGCTTGAACTTCTGGCAGTTCTATGTGCTGTTTCAGCAATTTTTGAATGATCTTCAGCAGTATTTTGCTTGCAGGTGATATGAATGATATTTTTCAATGATGATATTAAATGATTCAGTGAATTAAATGATATTAAGTGTTCTGGAATACCCATTATTCTCAATGTTATCTATATTTTTTTATGATTCACATAGTCAAATGCTGTTGCATAATCAATAAAATAAAAGTAATCGTTTTTCTTGTATTCTCTGCTTTCAGTCAAGGTCCATTTAACAATTATATCCTTCATCCCACAGCCTCTTCTAAATCAAGTTGAATTTCTGTCAGTTCCTTGTCAGTATATAGTTTTTATATATAGTTTAGATAGATAATATTAATTTTGTTCTTTTATGTCTTGGCCATTCCTTGGAAAGGGACATCATGCTTGCAAAGGTAGAGAGTCAATGAAAGATCCTTAATGAGAAGTATTGACAGTGACTTCAGCAATGGGCTCAAGGATGTCAAAGATGATGAGGCTAGAACAGGACAGGTCAGAGTTCAGATCCATTGTTCATAGGTCACTATGGCACCTAACAAAACTAACAACAACATGTCTCTGCAGTTTCTCACAAAACTGCAGATACTGGAATGATCATTTAACAGAGATTAACATGGTTAACTCGGCTTTGTACATTTTGAGACCCCGGTTGTCATATCTTGATCAGGTTAACTATTTGTACCAAAACCCTTTTTCAAAGTCTATTTCTGAAAGATAGCAGACTAGACAAATGACTGATTAGAATCTCGGTACCAAAGTTACACAAACTGCAGCTGTGATAATAAAAAATATAAACTATATTGAAGAAGTCAAGAAATGTGAAGTTCAGAGTGAAAAGGTCTATCATGTATCTAACTGGAATTATATAAGGAGACAGCAGAAAGAATATTATTTCATAATCTTTCTATTAGTAGTTTTTGGATAATCTTCAGCAGAATCTTGCTTGCATGTGATATCAATGATATTGTTTGATAATTTCCACACTTTGTCGGGTCACCTTTCTTTGGAACGGGAACAAATATCTATCTCTTCCAGTCAATTGGCCACGTGGTTGTCCTCCAGACTTCTTGGCACAATTTGGTGAGCAATCCAGGGCAACATCTATTTGTTGAAATATGTCAATCGGCATGCCTTCAATTCCTGGGGCCTTGTTTTTGCCAATTTTTGAGAGCAGCTTGAACTTCTTCCTTCATCACCA